GGAAAGACAGACAGGCAGGCAGGCAGGTAGGAAGACAGGCAGGCAGACATGCAGGCAGGCAGGCAGGAAGACAGACAGGCAGGAAGACAGAGAGACAGGCAGACAGACAGGCAGACAGGCAGGCAGGAAGACAGATAGGCAGGAAGACAGATAGGCAGGCAGGAAGACAGACAGGCAGGCAGGAAGACAGACAGACAGGCAGACAGAGAGGCAGGCAGACAGACAAGCAGGCAGGCAGGAAGGCAGGCAGGCAGGCCGCCAGGAAGACAGACAGGCAGGCAAGCAGGAAGACAGACAGGCAGGCAGGCAGGCAGGAAGACAGACAGGCAGGCAGGAAGACAGACAGGCAGACAGACAGGTAGGAAGACAGGTAGGCAGACATGCAGGCAGGCAGACAGGCAGGCAGGCAGGAAGACAGACAGGCAGGCAGGAAGACAGACAGGCAGGCAGGAAGACAGGCAGGCAGGCAGAAAGAAAAAACAGACAGGCAGGCAGACAGACAGGCAGGCAGGCAGGCAGGAAGACAGACAGACAGGCAGGCAGACAGAGAGGCAGGCAGGCAGACAGGCAGGCAGGAAGAAAAACAGACAGGCAGGCACAGACAGACAGGCAGGCAGGCAGGAAGACAGACAGACAGGCAGGCAGGCAGACAGACAAGCAGGCAGGCAGGAAGACAGACAGACAAACAGACAGGCAGGCAGGAAGACAGACAGGCAGGCAGGCAGAAGGCAGGCAGACAGGCAGGCAGGCAGGAAGACAGACAGACAGGCAGGAAGACAGACAGGCAGGCAGGAAGACAGACAGGCAGACAGACAGGCAGACAGACAGGCAGGCAGGAAGACAGGCAGGCAGGAAGACAGACAGACAGGCAGGAAGACAGACAGACAGACAGGCAGGCAGGCAGGAAGACAGACAGGCAGGCAGGAAGACAGACAGACAGGCAGGCAGACAGGCAGAAAGACAAAAACGCAGGAAGACAGTCACGGAGGCAGGCAGATAAACAAGCAGGCAGGCAGGGAGGAAGACAGACAGACCTCTATGCAGGGTAGAGCAGACCTTAAAGACTGACTGACATGAAGAAATCCGGTCGCCCCGTCATGGTGCCACGTTCCTCTTTAGTAAGTAAAAAAAAAGTCTGCGCTGGCAGCTGGAATCCGTGAATGAAGCGAATGACCGCCAAGTGTCACCCGTTCACCCGACGTTCACACTTATGCGGATTTCAGTGCGTTTTCCAGTTTGCAGAAACGCACTGCAGTCCATGTAACACGGTTTCCTACGGGTCTAGTTCACATCTGTGCGTTTTGAGTCGATGCGTTTTTTTGGAAAGGGTCAGAGGCTTTTCTCCCCTCAGTACATTGCAATTTGCGTGTAACAGACTTCGATGGACCCGCACAAAAAAATGTAAGTGTTCCGGTTTTGCCGCGTTTTGCTTTTTGCTTCCTAATAGGAAAAGTTCTGTTCATGAAGTGCGACTTCGATGCGACTTTACACCGTCTGGCACTCGAGTAGCATGGAAGATGTATGGAAGTCATGCAGAAACCTTCATCTGACCAATCGCATGTTAGGTTTGATGGCTAGGGTTAGGGTTAGGGGTAATTGTTGGGATTGAAACTCTAACCCTTAACACCAACTCTAACCTGCGACTTTGGTCACATGAAGGTTCCTGCACTACTTTGATGCTACTCGAGTGCCAGAGATTGTAAAGTCGCATCAAAGTCGCACTCCATGAACAGAACTCTCATACTTTTCTATTAGTAAAAAAAAAAGAAGCAAAACACGGCATAAACACGTGTGTTCAAAAACATACTGCAAAACACGCTTGAAGAACGCATCAACTGCACCCTGCATAGATGTGAACCTGGCCGTACAGTCAGCGGTATCTGGCAGCAGCAGGGGTTCCTCGGAACGCCCGCCACCTTGGACCTGGTGCTGGAGCACGCGCGCCTCTCGCCTTTGGAACGCCCGCCACCTTGGACCTGGTGCTGGAGCACGCGCGCCTCTCGCCTGTCGCCTCTCACCTTCCGCCGGGCACATCCAAGGGTGCCATTGTCACTCTTCAGTCATTGGGAGGCTTGGGTCACCCCTGCAGCTGCGACTGAGCGTGCTCATATTTCCGCACATCGCGTGTCAGGTCCGTTCACTTCAATAGGTTGCCCTACGTACAATAAATGTGGACAACCGTGTCTGTGGGTGTGTGGCGCCCATTCACAATTAATGACACCTAAAGGGCAGCACGTTTCTCGGCATGCTGGGAATTTAGCGCTCGTTCCTGAAACGCATGGAACGCATAGATGTGAACTTGGCCACACATGGATTGAAATGTGGGGATCAGCAGGGAGAGGCTGAATATCTATCCGTGTATGGGCAGGCGGGATGATCTATCGACTGACTTATGTACAACCAGCCTGTCAGGTTTTCTCGAATGATCTGCGCTGCTGGCTGCAGCTGGTAACGCTGATCAGTATGTTCTAATGGAGGTGAAGGCTCCCCGCTATCAGAACACAACAGCACAGCAGGAGGGATTCCCCCATCGACCTCCAATGTGGACGGGGGTCTGTGAAGGGTAATATGGGGGTCTGTGAAGGGTAATATGGGGGTCTGTGAAGGGTAATGTGGGGTTATGGTGGGTGTCGGGGGTGTTTTCAGGGTAATATGGCGGTATACTGGGTGACGGGGGTGTGTGAAGGGCAATGTGGGGGTACAGTGGGTGACGGGGGTCTATGAAGGGTAGTGTGGGGGGTAAAGTGAGTGATGGGGGGGTGTGAAGGGTAATGTGGGGGTACAGTGGGTGAAGGGGTCTATGAAGGGTAATGTGGGGGGGTAAAGTGAGTGATGGGGGGGTGTGAAGGGTAATGTGGGGGTACAGTGGGTGACAAGGGTGTGTGAAGGGTAGGAGGTGGAGACAAGGGATGGTGCTCAGAGGTGGGTAGGGGGTGGAGACAAGGGATGGTGCTCAGAGGTGGGTAGGGGGTGGAGACAAGGGATGGTGTTCGGAGGTGGGTAGGGGGTGGAACCAAGGGATGGTGTTCGGAGGTGGGTAGGGGGTGGAGACAAGGGATGGTGTTCGGAGGTGGGTAGGGGGTAGAGACAAGGGATGGTGCTTAGAGGTGGAGACAAGGGATGGTGTTCGGAGGTGGGTAGGGGGTGGAGACAAGGGATGGTGCTTAGAGGTGGAGACAAGGGATGGTGTTCGGAGGTGGGTAGGGGGTGGAGACAAGGGATGGTGCTTAGAGGTGGAGACAAGGGATGGTGTTCGGAGGTGGGTAGGGGGTGGAGACAAGGGATGGTGCTTAGAGGTGGAGACAAGGGATGGTGTTCGGAGGTGGGTAGGGGGTGGAGACAAGGTATGGTGCTTAGAGGTGGAGACAAGGGATGGTGTTCGGAGGTGGGTAGGGGGTGGAGACAAGGGATGGTGCTTAGAGGTGGAGACAAGGGATGGTGTTCGGAGGTGGGTAGGGGGCAGAGACAAGGGATGGTGCTTGGAAGTGGGTAGGGGGTGGAACCAAGAGATGGTGTTCGGAGGTGGGTAGGGTGCGGAGACAAGGGGCAACTCGGAATGGAGGGGGGGGGGGTACCTGCACCTATCCTCTGAGAAAGACAAGCCGCTTATACAATACTACCATTTCTTTGGCAATTTCCGTACGGCGGTGCCAAGTGTGTGACAATCTCTGCTCGGGTGACATTGGCAGGAGTGCTGGGAAAAGACGATTTATCACAACAGGGAGTCCTGTTATCAGACAATCTGCACAGAGGGTGAGATAACAGGAGGGTGAGATAACAGGCGGTTCCCAGGAATGTGAAGGGGAAGGAAATATATCTGCCCAGGAGAGATTTATAACAATCAATAAATTCTTCATTTACAAACTCCAGATTACTTTTGTCTCTAATGGTTTCATTGTAACATTCCATGCGATTCTCCACATATATTGGTATCATTCATCTCTAGAATCCCCCACATTGAGGCACACAGGGAACTCTGAGATGAATGGGTTATACTGCCACCCACAGGAGAATTGGCCAGTATAACCTCCCCCAACTCCCATCATACTTCAGTTTCTTGCTAGTGTCCTAGGGCAGCGATTCCCAACCTCAGAACTCAAGTACCCCAACAGATCATGTTTTCCAGAGTTCCTTCACCTTGCACGGGTGCGTTAAATTCATGTCAATGGCTCGGTATGTAGGAATGCTATTTTATCTATGGAATTCCCAAAACATGGCCTGTTGGGGGGGTACCTGAGGACAAAGGTTGGGTACTACTGCCCTAGGAGGGTGGTCGTACCTGGACCCGCCATGAGGAAGAGGCAGGGTTGGTCTGTAATGTGACTGTGAGGTCTGCTTGTGGCGCTCTCCAAGCACCCACTGACCTGAGTTAGCCATGTTACATGTCTAAGGCGATGGCACAACCCCCCCCCCCCCCCCCCCTTGTGTAAGCTTGTTCCTGAGGACTCCATTGGACTATGCTCATTGGAGGGGAGCAGAATGTCTGGAATGGGAATGCCTCAATGGGTTCTTCACGTCTGTGGTTGCCTTGGATGAACAAACCTTTCCTCTGCCTCTCCTGACTTTGGCTGGAGATAGAAGCACTGCTGGCTCCCCTTGAGGGCCCCAGGGCCAATACTGTGACATAGTCCTCCCCAGACATAATCTAACCTCTCCTGCTTCTGCCGCTGGGTTCTTGTGTGGACCTTTATTGGCATTCCACACTTTTCCATACAGTCAGCATGGCGGATCATAATCACAAAGCCAGTGGCCCTGCAGGCCTTATGATCCACTAACAGCTCCAGGGCAGCTTGCAGCATTTGTGGACCTGAGACCAACAGCCTGGCTTACTGCCCCCTGTATGACTCCACACACTCCTTGGACTCTTCCCCAGTTTCATCTGGTATTGTACCCAGCCTTTTGACATAACTCCCAGGCATAAACATGACTTCCAGTCTTCCCTTCAGTCTTGCACAGGTGTACCGGCTCCTCCCCTTCAGTCTTGCACAGGTGTAGTGGCTCCTCCCCTTCAGTCTTGCACAGGTGTACCGGCTCCTCCCCTTCAGTCTTGCACAGGTGTACCGGCTCCTCCTCTTCAGTCTTGCACAGGTGTACCGGCTCCTCCCCTTCAGTCTTGCACAGGTGTACCGGCTCCTCCTCTTCAGTCTTGCACAGGTGTACCGGCTCCTCCTCTTCAGTCTTGCACAGGTGTACTGGCTCCTCCCCCTCAGTCTAGCACAGTTGTACCTGCTCCTCCCATTCAGTCTAGCAGGGGTGTACTGGCTCCTCCCCTTCAGTCTTGCACAGGTGTACCGGCTCCTCCCCTTCAGTCTAGCAGGGGTGTACTGGCTCCTCCCTTTCTGTCTTGCACAGGTGTACCGGCTCCTCCCCTTCAGTCTTGGCCTCTGTGGATATCAAGGATGCCTAACTGCATGTCCCAATCTTTCCAGCGCATCAATGCTACCTTAAATTTCCTGTGGGCCTGCAATACTCCCAGTCCCTTTCCCTCCCCTTTGGCCTGTCCTCTGCATCTTGAGTTTTTACCAAGGTTCTGGTCCCTGTACTAGCTTTGCTAAGCTCTCAGGGAATTCCCATAATATAATACCTGGATGACCTCCTCTTGAGATCACAGTCTGCACAGACCTTATCAGCCAATCTCCAACAGAATGTTCAAACTCTCTGGAGGTTTGGTTGGATCATGAATCTCCAGACCACAGAACATAAACCTGACACCACAGCAGGATTCTTAAGGAACCAAACGGATTGTGATAGGTGTGGCCATTGGCTCCATTCCAAGACCAGTATGCTAAGCCGATAATGCCTTCTTAAGATTGAGGGATCTTGAAATAACATGAACAAGACAAAGGGTGCGAAGGCCTAGTGCATTACCAACAACATTTTATGAAGTAATTAAAACAAATGAATGCGTACTCACAATAGCCAATGGCTAAATCAGTGTTGTACATAAACACGGGTGACAAGATGGTCTTCTAGGAGATGGAACTCACACGACCCTGACATAAGTCAGACTTGCCAGCTTCACTTCCATGTTTCAAGGGTCAAGCCCTCTTCTTCAGAGCAAAGCAAAGCCACTGAAGAAGAGGGCTTGTCCCTTGTAATGCATCAGCTGGCAAGTCAGGCAAATATCAGGGTCATGAGACTTCCATCTCCAAGAAGACCATCTTGTCACCTAGGTTTATGTACAACACTGATTTAGCCATTGGCTATTGTGAGTACACACCCTTTGGATTTAATTTCTTAATAAAATGTTGTGGGTAATGCACTAGGACTTTGCACCGTTTTGTTTATGAACTTCCAGAAGTCACCATGGAATTGACCCATCATATGAAGTATCTGGGTCACCTTCTGGAAACTGCTCAGTCAAGGGTTTCACTATCACAGGAAAAACTCCTAACTCTGCTTCCAGGTCAGGACGGTATAGTCCAGGGGACATCCAACTCTCTGCTTTTGCATGAGAGTTCTGGGCTACATGGTACAGAAAACACATTCTCTGGACAATCACATGTGCTGTCATCCAAGAGCAGACTATCCCTATCCTTGCGGCTCACAAATACAGCCCTGGAGTCAGGGAAAGCCTTCTGTCGTTTGGTCTGGAACATTCTCACAATAGATGCCAACTTGACAGCCTGGGGAACTGCTTGGCCACCTTGCACTGATAAGTCCTGGAAACATTATTGGTGCAAGGGGCATGGTCACTACTGGAAGCTTGTTTCCCAATTGACATACAGGAGCTATGAGCGATTCAGTTGGCACTCCAATGCTGGAATCCAAGGTCTTCCAATCTTGATTTAATCAGACAATGACTCAGCAGTGGCTTACATCAGTCATCACAGAGGAACCAGAAGTCTTATGGCTCAAGAACAAGCTAATCAGACTCTGGGTTGGGTGGAACTTCCTATTTCGACCAGGTCTGGAATGACCTCTGCACCCTGGAGGGGTTTCAGGACCTCTGTCAAATGTAGGGAACACTGGAAGTCAACCTCCTGGCTTCCAGATGTAACAACAATCTGAGCAAATTTGTCTCCAGGTTCAGGGATCTTCTAGCCATAGCAGTGGGTGTACTGGTGACTCCATGGGATTTGTTTAACCTGATCTACTCCTTTCCTACTCTGATGCTCCTTCCCCATCTGCTCTGCAAGATCTGGATGGAGGGCATTCTCATTGCACTGAATTGGCCCAGGCTTATGTGGTACTCAGACTTCATCAGGCTCCTAGTGAACTCTTTGTAGGTTCTTCCAGATTGGTCAGATCTTTTGTCTCAAATACTGGTATAGCACCCTTCTACATGGTCACTGGGTTTAACAGCATGATTATTGAAGCCCAGGTCCTAAGGGATAGGGTCTACCAGCACACTTGGATATCGTACTTTGCATCCCAGAAAATTCTTTGTAAGATGCATTATGGCTTTTCTCCAGTCTAGTCTGGGTCAGAAATTGGCCACAAGTATTAACCAGGGTGGAACTTAAGCTCTAGAGATTCTTTTTTATAGATTTCTTGCCTCTCATTCCTTGGAAAGAGTCTTCGTACAAGGGGCCACACACAGGTCCACCTATACGTCCACCAGTGACTCTGTGGGACCTCAACCTGGTTCTGTCTATTCTTTAACATCCACCCATGAACCTATCAGTGCTATCCCCCTGTCTGATCTCACTCACAAGGTGGCCTTTTTTTGCTGCCATCGAGTTTCAGAATTACTGGTTTTGTCTTGCAAAGGACCTTTTCCTGTGCTACACAGAAAGTTGTCTTGAGGCCTAGGCCCTCATTTCTCACTAATATGGCATCTTCCTTTCAACTCATCCAGGACCTTGTACTTCCTTCCCTCTGTCCTGCTCTGGTACATCCCAAGGAGACTTCCCTCTATTGTTTGGACATGGTACAAGCTATTTAAGTTTATATCTCAGCTACAGTATGACTTCCTTCAAGCTGAGACTTTGTTTGTCATTCCTAAGGGTACCCTTAGAGGATCATCCTGCTCCTCACTCTATAGCTGATACCATCTTCAGCCCCAAGGTCCTTCAGACAGCCCTCGACTTGCAGGAAGTCCCCGTTTTTACCTGGTTGCCTTGTGGGCTTGTTAGTGTTTGTTTGCTGTGTTGTTCGGCCATCAGTTGGGCCAACGGTGGACTTCCCAGCTGTCTCAGAGTTGCTCTGACCTCATGTCCCTTAATGAGCATTAAAAAACTCCAAGATTTTTGACTTACTGTAAAATCTCTATCTTGGAGGTCATTGAGGGACACGGGTCCCTCCCTTTGATTTATGATCACTCATTCTACAGCTTTTGTTCAAAACAGAGGCATGATGGGAGTGGAGCGGTTATACTGGGTGTTCAATTCTCCTGCAGGTGGCAGTATAGTCCATATGTCTACGTCTACCCCGTGTCTCCTCATGAACTCCAAGAAAAGGAATTTACGAGAAGTCACCATCTCTCCGTGTTTTTTGTCTTTCTCTCGTTCTGTTTCTCTCCCTCGTTGAGTATGATGGGTGTACAGAGGTCGGAAGGCTTCGCCCATCTCACACATAACTCACCTCCATCAGCAGTTTCAACGCTATGTCGTCCCGGACTCTCCCATCCCGCCGAGCCTGGGCGGCCAGGTTGGTGAACCACACGCAGGGGATCCAGTACTTGTTGAAGTCGGAGGCTAAACTTTCGTATTTCTTGAGCTCCTCGCGGGTCATAAAGCCTGGAAAAGATTGCTGTGTTAACCCCTTCACTGGCATCGCCCACTCTTCCCCATGAGAGGTCCCATCGTGCCCTCCACCAATGATGTACATGATATTCATTATAGGTCCCTCCTCCATGTCATACAATATGCTGCTTCCATTCTGTGCCCATTGGTCACCATGACGGTTCAACCAATTTATCTGGGGGGCTGGATTGGGAGATTAGCTAATTAGCATACGAGACCTCCCAGTGTTAAAGCCCAATCAGAAGCTGCTACATATGTCCCAGGTGCATCAAGACCAAAGGTGTGCAAAGTCCTACCCCCAGTTCCCACCAGTATGGGCCGTGCAGACCGCGCTTGCTCCCGGCACAGCAGCCCAATCAAATTCAAATGATGCATGCGCCTTTTCCTAAACACATCCATGTGGAAACCACGAGGTCTTTTTTACCACAAGGTTTCCATGCGCCCCCTGTGCCCACGATCGCGCTGCGGGATGAGCTGTGTGGGGGTGTCATTCACAATGAGAAATGCGATGTGGCTGTGGGTGGTTGTGGATGCGGGAATCGCATCAATTCCCTCAGGGCCTCGCCAGAGCACAATTCTACGGCCAATTATTTTTGGTTTTTTCACTTTTTGTCACTTTTGCGTGTGGTTTCTTTTTCCTCATTGGATGGAGGGTGTGGGCCCTGACATCTAGGGGGAGGATGCGTGGCCCTCAGGTTCCTTCCTCCCCCGATCCTTGGGGGATCTCTCTTCGGGAGAGCCTCTTGACCAAGTACTTGGTGGTCGGCTTCGGCTGATCACAAGGGAAGGGGTCCTCCAGGCCTTTTGGCTGGGTCAGGGGTAGGCAACCTGCGGCTCTCCAGCTGTTGCAGGACTACAAGTTCCATCATGCCTCTGCAGGTCATAGCTGTAACTGTCAGTTTTGTAATCTTTGCAATGCCTCGTGGGAAATGTAGTTCCACAACAGCTAGAGAGCCGCAGGTTGCCTACCCCTGGGCTAGGTGGACCATGTGGCAACCTCAGTCCCTGTCAGGAGCTTCGTGCCCCGGGGGATCAGGGTAGAGGTTCTACCCCTTCAGGGGGGATGGACCAAAAGCACACCCCTAGGTGCACTTTTTTGTGTTGGTGTTTTTGCACTTGCACCTTTTTTGCACACTTATCGGGTTTTTGTGCACCTCCGCGAAAGTGAAAAGAATCGCATCATTTCCCGCACCGGCAACCAGCCCCAAGTGTGAACCTAGCCTTAGGCCGGCCATACATGGATCGAAATTCAACCGATTTTTCATCCGAAAATCGGACCTAAGAATAATCAGACAATTTTCGCTCTGTTAGTGGGTCAATGGCACCGGCCGATTTTCGTGGCTCCTCCCCTTTCCGGTGATCGGGCATGTTGGAAAATTAATGAAAAACAACCGATTTTTGAGTCAATGATGGTCAAATCATACGATCGTTTTTCCGGAAAGAATCTGCGCCATGAGCCGTGACCTGGAAGGAGCAGACGTTTCGCCTGTTATATGGGGGGAACTTCATGACTCGGCGGCCGATTTTCAAAATCATTGATGGCGCCGTCTGATTACCGAGCGAACAATGTTTTCGAATTTAGGACGAAAAATTATTCGGAATTCGACCCGTGTATGGCCTGCATTACAGTTTATATGCATTAGAAAGCAGCCACAGCCTGAGCAGAAAAGCCT